GAGAACAAAGGGGGAGGAGGAGGAGGGTGCCGAGCCGGAGCCGGGAGAGAGCTGGAGGAGGCACCGCGCTGCCACAGCTGTGCGCCGCGACCGGAGGAGCACGGGCGGCGGTGGGCAGGGCGGCCCTTTCTCCTCTCACTGCCCAGGGAAGGGACGGGGAGGGGGGAGGCGGAGAGGGAACGGGGAGCCCCAGGGCCGGAGGCGCTTCCTGGCAGAGCCCAATAGGAGAGAAAGGCCGCGGGTTACGATTGGGATTAATTATTATTCTCCAGCAGCCAGAAGGATGATCAGGGCATCGTGCGGCCCTCGCCTCTCCCCGCTCCCACTCCTTTCTTCTCCCCCCACCTTTCTTTATTTTCCTTTTTTTTTTTTTTTTTCTTCGCTGAAACTCGGCTTCCTTCGAGCCCTCCGAAGATTTAACCCTTTGCCCGCAGAGCCTCGAGGTGGGCGAACACAAAGCACATCGTGAAAGCCTCAGACCGAAAGAATCCCGATCAACACGGGAGCGCCGCACGGCCATAAGTCGGTATGGCACCGGCGGTGCTGGACCGCCCTAGGACGGCGGCTCTCAGCAGGGAAGCCCGGCCCGGCCCTGCCTTGTCACCACCTCGCCACCGGGTGCCGCCGGGCACATCGCTCCCACACATGGTCCGCATTTCGCACGGCGGCAGCGTGCTTCCTCTCGGCCTCTCGTTGCCGCTCTCCGAACAGAGGGAGAGGGGAAAAAAAAAAACAACCACCACCACCAACAAAAAAAAACAACACAGAGTTTTAGAGGAAGTCAAAAATCAGACGAGCTGAGAAATGCTCCGTGTTACACACATCCTGCGTCCTGCGTGAAAGCGAAAGCCTGGCATTCCGTCCCTGCTCTATGGTACTGGCGCCGGCGTTGGACGCGGCGAGGTGACCGCTCCGTGCCTGCGGTTCGCCGCTCGCCCTGTCCCCCTGTGCTCTCGCCCTGCGGCCGGGTGCTGGGAGAGCATAGCCCCGCGTCCCCCCCTTTCCTTCCCTTCCCCTCCCGGATCAGGGGCGGCCCGCACCCCGCGGTCCCGTGACCCCTCCGCCGCCGGGCCCGGTGCCCCCCAGCTCCTTGCGACAGAAGGGCCGCATTCTCCCCAGTGGAAGCCCACTCGTTTCCTTGTTGGCAGGAACAAAGCGCACATTCAGAGGGGTGGCTGCTGACGGCTCCCTCTGTATAGCACTGGAAAGCGGGTGGCCTTTGGTTGCTGGCAAGGAAAATTCTAATCAGGGCGCTTGTAAGCGGGGCTTTATAGAAGCTTAGTTACAAAAGGCTTACACCAGAGTAATGCAATAACTATAATAACAGCCAGGGAGCCCTAAAGGGGGTGGAATGCGCTTGTGTCTGGATGATTTTCCCCGCTAGCACAGAGAGGGACTGTTTACTGCGAGTGCCATTAAGTATCGCTGGAAACTCACCAACCGCAGACTTATTTCAATCTACTTTATTGTTGGATCCTCTCGCCCCGACCGACGGGTAGACACCCCGGGGAGGAGAAGGGCCGGGAGCCACCCCGCAAGGAGCCCCGGCCAGAGAGGCAGCGCCGACTCCGTGCTGCGGGATAGGCGTCCGATAAAGGCGAGGGGCCCCTGGGCCGGGCATCGCCTCCCCGGGCTGCGGTACCACCCTCCCGCCCCCCCCTCCCTCCTCGGCCCCGGTTGCGCTGCGCAGCGCTGCGTTAAAGGCACAACGGAGCGCAGCGAGTGAAGAGCCGCTCCGCGCAGGGCAAGAGAAATGGGTTTTTAATAGGAAAGGTCCGCGTGCTTGGCAGCCGGCCACCGCGGCCGGGAAATAAACAAACAGAAGAGCGGCGGGTTCAGGTCGGAGCAGGAGCTGCGCTCCCGGCAGCGCAGCCCCGCGGCACGGCCTCACGGAGCCGCCGCCGCCGCCGCCGCCGCCGCCCCCCCCCAGCCCCTGGCCCGGCTCCGCAGTGCGCAGCTCCCAGGGCAGAGCGGCTGTTCCCCGCAGCGGGCGGCGGGCCCGGGGCCAGCGCGGGGCCGGGGCTGTTTATCGCGTTCCGGAGCCGCTGCACGCGTAACCGCTGCCGTGCCGCACGGCTCGGCTCCGGGGGGCGGAGAGAGAAGGGCGAGGGATGGGGGGAGGGAACGGAGCAGCACGATCGCGAAGCGCCGGGAAACCGTCTGACAGCAGAGAGCATACGGGGGGGCCGCTGGGAGCCGGGGGAAAGCAGCGCTGCCGCGGCTCTGCCTCGGCTCTGCCTCCCTCTGCAGACACGCTCCCGGCTCGGCCCGCGCTGCGCCGTTCAGGGGCTGCGGGGACAGGAGGACGGGCCCGGCACGGCCTCGGGGGAGGGGGCGAAGCGAGCGGGTCCCGGGGGCCGGAGCGGGAGAGCCGAGAACGAAGTCCAAGCGGCGGCCCCGAGCAGCTCGGGGAGCTGAGCCGAAGCTGGAGGAGAGCCCGGGCTGAGCGGCCCCGCGGCGGGGGCAGGCCTGGCGGTCAGAGCCCTATGGCGGGCACTGCGGGCGCTGCCCTCGGCTCTTAACGGAGCAGAGCGTGGTCTGGGCTCGGGTTGCGGGACGCTAGGAGTAAGTGGAGCTTCGGGCCGAGGCCCAGCCTCCCTTTGGGGCCCTCGTCTCCCTTCCGCGCCTCGGCAGAGAGCGCAGCAACCCCGCAGCCTCCTGTCTGGGTCTCGCAGCCGTGCTCCGAGACCGTGGTGAGTGCGGATGTGCCGTCGGGGCTGGCAACGTCCTCTCATCCTCGAGCTCTGCGATTTTGAAGGGTTGCTGCGAAGGGCTGAGAGGGATCGGGGGCATCGCAGAGCAGTGCGAGCGGCTGGGCTGGAGGAGGGCATCGCGGCCAAGCCGGGGAGAGCAGGGAGCGGCCCGGGCGGAGGAGGAGAGGGGCAAAGAGCGGGGGAAGGCGGGCGCAGCCAGCAGCCAGCAGGACGTCGCTTGGCAGCGCGCCGAGGGGCACACTGCAGCCCCGGGAGCCGGGGAAGGGCCGGCAGATCATCGGCCCTTGCCAGAGAAGCAAGGAGTGCTGCATCCCCCGCGTCACCCACGGCTCAGGCAGTCCGCTTTTCCCTCCCTGTGCTGGGATGTACCTGCGGGCAGCCCCCGGCTCTCTGCCCGTCCGGAGATTCCCGCACCGTCCTATCTTCGCGTTGTGACCTACAGCGGCGCTCTGATTTATTTTTAATGTGTTCCGATTCTCGTTCCGTTGTCGGGAGCCGCATTGAGATTCATTCTCCATTCCCTGCTTTTCAGGCTCCTGTTCTGCTGAAAGGCCCCGGCGATAGAGTTTAATTCGATTCGATATGATTTAATGAACACCTTTATCTTTTGTTTTTTAGCGGGGGGATTAAGCAGACGCCCGCATCCCGCTCTCGCTGCATCACACGCGTTCCCACCGAATCCTATCTGGCGGCACACACTCCCTGTAACATTTCATTAACAGCCCCCTTGATATATTGATTTTTAATATTTGTATTAAATGTTGTGTAAAATTGAACTCGGGCGTTAGGAGAGATTGTGCGAGTCACAAGACATGCCTCCTACTTAATTGTTATTTTTTTCGGTCCTGGAACAACAGTTGGAAAGAGGCCAGGAGGAGAAGCTGTAAAAAAGAAGAAACCTCCCCGGAGGGGATCGGGAGAGATGGGCACAGAGCGCGGGGCCGCGCAGCGCGGGCACCGACTCGGAGCGGACTCCCGCCTCACCCCCAGCACCGGCAGTACCGACCCCCCCATCCCCCACCGCGGGGCCGCCTCCGCGCTCCGTGCCCCCGGGCCTCGGCCGCCCTGCCCCGCGCTGCCTCCTCCGGCTCCTCCGGCTTGCTCGCCTCCCTCCCCGCCGCTCCATATGGTTTCTCCCCTCCTCCTCCTCCTCCTCGGCTCCCCCCCTCCATGTTGTCGCCGTGCCTTTCCCCTCTCCATATTGTGCCTTCGGGGAGGCGCGGACGGGGCGGCCCGGAGGGGTGCGGGATGCGGACCGGGCCTGGTACCAGGGGGGACGGGGCGGGAGGGCTGCGGGCCACAGCCCCGATCCCAGAGTTTCCCGGGCGTGCGGAGCTGAGATGAAGGAGCGCAGCCGCCCCGCGCGTCCCCCTCTGTGTTTTCATACCTCTTTCCCCCCCCCCCGCCACTCTGCTCTCCCCCGCCCTCTCTCCTCCCCCCAGGAATAGGAGGCATTCAGGGATCAGCATAATTCACCTGCATCAAAAAACTCGCGGGCTATAAAGCAGCGGCTGATCCCCCGCTCAGACGAGCGTTTAGCCGTTCATGCATCATGAGTGTCAAATAAATGCCTGATTGAGGCCCTCAGCGGAGGAATTAGCTTCCCTTCTGCTGGAAGCGCGGAACACAGAAAGTGCTGAGGCATCCTCCCGGGGTGAGCGTGGCTCCGCTGCCAGCGCTGCTCCCCCGGCACTGCGGGGCGGGCGGGTGCGGGGTCCCGGAGCGGTGGGTCGGGGCACACACGGGTTAACGGCGGCACGCCCGGGTTGCAGATGAATTTCAGGCCCCGGTGTGCAGTTTTTTTTTTTTTTTTTTTTTTAATTTAAAAGAAAGAAAGGAAGAAACACATGCCCGGGCCGAACAGGCGGCGGTGACCTGCAGTTTCCCCCTCCCTCCGAACTGAAAAGCGGCCAAAGTAGCTGAAAGTTAACTTCGGGGCTCGGGGGGGGGGACGGGGGCGGGGGAGGGGGGAGGAGGAAATCGCTCCGGGTTGAGATCTCTGTGTCGAGTTTCATCCCCTCCTGACATTGCTGGCCGCGCGCCAAAGTCCTGAGAATGGAAAAGCGAAGGGAAGGGCGGGCGGGGGAGGGCGGGGGGCGCGGGGAGCGGCTCCCGGCGGAGCGGCACAAGGCGCGGCGGCGGCTGAGAGGGATGCGGCGGAGCGGCCGTGAGAGCGGGGCGCGGGCACCTTCCGCGATCCGCTCGTCCGCTGGAGAGCGTGAAAAGCCGCTGAGAGCTGCCATTGTTACTCACAGGCGATGCGGGAAGCGGAGCCCGCGCTCCGGCGGGAGATAAATCGCCTCTGACGGCGCCTCTTCGCGCCGGGAGCTCCTCCGATCGCAGCGGGCGGACGGACTCAGGTCGGTGCCGCTCCCATGCGCGGGAGTCCCTTTAAATCCCCGCTCCCCTCTCTTTTCCCGGGGCCGCTGCCCACCCCCTTCCCAGCGCTCCCCCTCGCCGCCCCGGAGCCGCCCGCGGCCCCGCTGCCACCGCACAGCTCGGCGCGGAGAGAGAAAAGTCCGGAGCGCTCGGGGCGGGCTGCGCCTTTGCCAGGAGGGGTCTTAGCGCCGGGGCTTTTGTCCGGGGCCTTCGCGTGCTGCTCTCCGGCGCGGAGCTAGTGCGGAAAGTGCCAGGAAGCCCGTGCTGCCCCGCGGGTAGCGCCGCTCGAGCCCGCGCGGCTCGGTTCCGAGGGGGTCAGGCTGAGCCCTGCCCTTGGGGCCGCCCCGTCGCGCCGTGACCGTGACGGCTGCCCGATGGGCCGGTGGGGCCGTCTCCCCCTGGACCCTCCGCCAGCAGCCCCAGAAACGGGCCCGAGAGGGCGGGGGGCATTCCTCCGGCGGCCAGAGCGCTGTTTTCCGTCTGACGGGCACCTGGCAGACACGGGGCTCCGCACACACGCGTGCGGCCGCTTCGCCCAGCGGCACCGATCCCCGTTCCCGGACACCGGCGCTCGGTGTCGTCGCAGCATCTCCGCACCACGGCCGCGACGGTGTGGTTGTTCGGAGCGAGGCTGCCGGCCCCCTGACGCGTGGATTCCCGACCGGGAGAGGCTCTCCCAGGTGGGGACGGTGCGGGCAGCCGGGGCCGGGCAGACAAAGGCCGCGGCGGAGCGGTGCGGGGTTCCCTGCTTCCCCCGGGGCTCGCAGTGCAGTGCGGGTCGGGCTGCGTCTCCGCAATCGCATCGCGTGCACTTGGAAGCGATTGTTTTCCCTTTCCACTTGTTTGTCTCCTGCTAGCCTCGTAAACTGCCTCATGATTTATTACCTAGGCTAAGTGCTTAATTTGTGAATATGAAACAGATTAAAAGGAGATCGGCGTATTTTAGCAGGCAGGCCAGAGCGAAGCCCGGCAGCTGTTTCGAGTTTGTCAGCATCTCCCAACCCCGTGTTAAGCCTGAGAGTGATCTATGGGGGATCCCCGGGCTCCCCCAGAAAGGCCCCCGGTGCCTGCTCCCCACCGGTGCGCAGTGCGTGTCCTTGCGTGGGAGCGGGCACCCGCAGCGCTCGCAGCCGGGCCCCGGGGGGAGCTCAGCCGGCGGAGGGCCCCGCGAGGCGCGCAGAGGGTTAACGACGCCTCTGCCCTTTCCTTCAAAGGACTCGGCTCGAGATAGAGTAAACACGCCCGGGGAAGGGGGGGGGGTGGGGGGGGGGGGGGAGGGGGTGCTGCTCAGGCCACATGATACAAAAGTAAGACAAGCACACTCCGGAGAACAAAGGCTTCCTACCCCCTTCCTCCCCCTCCCCCCAAAATCTGTCTTAATTCTGCGAGTAAACTTGAGCAGCTCTAAAACAAAGAGCAACGACGACGGAACTCGGAGCCAAGGGACAATCAGAACAAATACCTTTGACGCAGCCCAAGCACGCACTCCCTCCAACCCCCCTACCTCCGCACACCGCGGGCCGTCTCCACGAGGGCCCCGTGCCCCGGGCCGCGCTGTCGGGGCCGCCCCGGTGCTTCCGGGAGGGCTCTGCGGGCCGGGAGGCGGCCCCGGGTCGAGAGAGTGTCACCTCGGCCCCCCGCCCCCTGCATGCAGAGCGGGCTGGCGGCTGTCACGCTTGTCAGCTGCCCCGGAGAGACGGGGAGGGGGGGTGATGAGGGAAAGCAGCGGGCCGGCAGAAGAGTGCAGCTCCTGAGCTCAGAAGGCAGAAGGAGGCGAAAATCCGGGAGCATCTCTGACCGTCGCTTCGGAATGGGCAGTAAGAGTGCTGTGTCACCCCCGTGGAGATGAGCGGAGCTGAACAGACAGGGCTGGTGTGGAGAGTGGTGACTATTGAGCCCTCAGTGCACCTCAGGCAATGGCTTTGGGGCTGGTGTTGGAGCACAGATGGGGCCAGAGCACCATATCCTGCGGTGTGGCAACCAGGTGTGTTGCTGGTGTGTGGCTGAGCCCCGAGAGGGAAAGTGGTATGTGTGGCACTTGGAGAGATCTCTGCTTGTACGTGTGTGTGAAGATGTCAGAGTGAATGGATGTCAGAGCAGGTGTCTGGGGAGCCGCTGATTGGAGGTTGAGACTGGGAAGCGGTTCAGTAGGTTCATGTGGGTGAAGGCTTGGGGACATCTCCCCATGGCAAGGAGTCATCTGAAGAAAGAGTGAGAGTGATGCATCAGCCAACACGCGTACATATGTCTCACTTTAGTTTAAGACCACGTCCTGCTTTCTTATTTGGGACAACCGTTTGTGGCAAACCAGCACAGGAGCAGTTTACCAGGGTCCTCCTGGGCAGTGCGTAGCTGCGGTGCCCCATAGAATGACTTTGGGTCAGAGCGAGGCCTTGGGGAGGTGTGAAGAGCAGCCACCAACAACTGGCCCCAGGGTGTCTGCACTCCCTGTGGGTCTTGCACAGAGCTATTCTCTCTCTCAGTGCCATCAGCAGAGAGCAAAAAAGTGGGCTTGTGTCACAGTGATGAGATACAGCGCTTTTCTCCTACAGCAGGGTGCACAAGGAGAAGCAGAAAAAATGGACAGCAGCAGTAGGAAAGGCAAAAGAAAAAAACCCACAGCATTTTCAGGTTCATGGCTCAGCTTTTATGGTCATCCCTACCTCATGGAGGGCTGTGAGCCCTGGTTACACTGCTGCAATGCATGGCACGAGCAGTCACCTGGTCCCTTGAGCACCCTTGTAAGGCAGTCCAGGTCCCCACAGAAAATGGTTTGCATGCACTTAAAACTATGTGGATTGGATTTGCTTCCAGCAGTGCATAATGCCAGTTTCAGCCTGATCCCGTCTGGCTTTCACTGAATTAATGCCTGGATGGATCTAAGTCCGAACGCCTGGGACCAGAGAGGTGCAGATAGTCCTCCTGCTGCTGTCCCTCGGTGCCCTGAAGGCGTTGTAAAATCTCCTTGGCAGTGCTCTCAGGGGCGATCGCTAAGCCGCAGGAACAGCACCGAGAGAGTGCTACTACAGCAGCAGCGGCTGTCACGTAAACAACAGAACAGAGGGGAGAAATTGTGGAGCGGTGCAGGGCTCAGGATGCACAGCCCTGGGGCAGCGGGCACATTCCAGCCGTGCTCTGTCTCTCTGGGTTCACAAGTACCGCCTTACCCAATAGCGGGGTTACAGTGCTGGGAGCCCTGGTAAGGGAAGGCGTGCTGTGACACTGCCCTTCCAGCACGGGGAGGGGAGCGTCGAGGCCGGTGAGGTCCCCGTGTAACCTTTGGGCTCCTCGAGGCCTCACTCCCATCGCCAGCATCCCACCGTCAAGGGAGAACAGTGCGTGTTTGTGTGCGTGTGTTCATGTGAATGTAATTTTGTGTCTACATAATGTGGATTATCTCTCTTTCAGTGGCAAACTCATTCGGGGGTTTAGATAAAAAGAGAAATCCTGCAGCCGTTCCCTTGCAAGGAAGGGACATGTCTCTCCCTATGGCTCTGCCTGATTCTTGGCTTAAGCAACCCATGAAGTCCCTTTTTTCCTACTTGAGAGCCTCCTGCTCACCTGGTGCACAGCAAAGAGGTATACAGAGGAGCACACAGCAGTGTAGATGGGGATGAGGGCAATGGCATGCACTAACATAGCGACGATGCCCTGTGTCACTGCACTAAGTGATACTAATGTGTGTGAGGGGTAGCCCCATGACCCCCCCCAACCCTGCCAGGAAGAGCAGTGCACTATAGGTGCAGGACACCCAACAAGCTGTGCTCTTCTCCAGCCCTGAGCACTGCTGGGCTTCGCCAGGAGGAGGGCAGCCTGGCATAGGTCTCTGTGGATTTCAATGCAAAATGACTCTCCTGCAGTTCTCATTTTGCAAGCGAGGGCTGGGCAGGCTCTGAAAACATGGAAGTTGTTGATGTATTGGTTCAATTAATTTTTTAAATAAGCTGGAACGCTACTTGTTTCACATTTGATAGGAAAACACTGTGCATTTTAGTAAGGAAAGACAGAGGTGAGTGTGTGTGGGAAGCGTATTTCCCACAGCCTTAAGAAGAGGGCTTAAATGAGGCATTCATGTCGTGCAAGGCCTTTGCACAGCAGCGGGTGAGATCTGCATTGGAGGGAAAGACCTGAACATTCGTATTTGCCCAGTGGCAGCAACATCTCTTGTGGAGAGGGGCAGGTATGTGGGGTAAGGCACTCGGTGCTTCTTAAAAGGCAATAATAGCTCCTGGGAGAGCCCTTCCGTATGGCCTTGGTGCCCATGACCCCCTCTGATGTATGATATTTAAACAAGGGAATGTCAATATTGGTTTTCCACATCCAGCCCCGTTCTGCTCTCCGTAGAAGCTAATGACAGAACCCCCGGAGAGGTGGAGGAGAGCAGACCCCAGTGCTGCAGCAGCTCGGGAGGGAGAGCAGGATGTAAGGGACTGAAGGGCTGCACAGTCATGGGCACATCGGGGTGAGAAGAAGAAGCCCTGTCCTGCAGCACACTGGGACAGCAGTCAGAGCGATTCGTGCTTGCTGAAAGTATAAACTGCGTTTATTCAGGAAGGTACAGGTTGGATATTAGGAACCTTTTCTTCTCAGAAAGAGCAGGAAGGCAGTGGCACAGGCTGCCAAGGGAGGTGGTGGAGTCACCGTCTCTGGAGATGTTCAAGAGCCGTGTGGATATGGCTCCTGAGGGACATGGGCAGTGGGCATGGTGTGATGGGCTGACAGTTGGTCTTAGAGATCTTTTCCAACCTTAACGATTGTATGAGCAGATATCCAAAACAGGGCCATCAGGTCTATCTCCTGACACGCACGTCCTTTGAGGTAGGAAAGTGTAAGTCAGAGGAAGAGAGGGCAAGCACGTGTGACTCATAGCAAAAAGAGGGCACGTGGGAAGAGTGAGCGCAGGGAGAGCTGTGCTGGTCGGACATGCAGGCTGTGCTGTGTGTCATGGGAAAAATAATTTTATAGATGATAATTTCAGCTT